AGTTGATGTTGAGATATTTTTTATCAAATTAATTTTTTTCAAGTACGCCATAATGTAATCTAGAAATATTCACCTATTTCAACGTAACTATACAGTAGGTTCTGGTTAATACCAGTATGGTCCTGCTGTTGTATAAACGAAACATATCTGCAAGACTAACGATTGTGAGGTATCTTGCATAAATGTCTGTCGGATATAATTCAATGTGCATCGTGGTACTAGCCGGAGATGTAGTTGGTTTTAGTCAGGCATTTACTTGGAAGAATTTCCAATCATTTTCGATCAAGTCAGGAAATAATGTGTGGAATTTCCTGGATTCAAACGTTCTCCTATTCATTTTGTGAATCTAAAATCTGGCTCTCCTTCGACTTCTTGTCTCTTCGTCTTCTCCCGCCACTGACATTTGACTTATAATCATTTCTTTAATCGATACAACGTTTTGGTATCCACGACACTCTCAGAACAATGCTAGGAGAAGATTGTGTTTCACTTACCATTTCACTTACCATTCCTCAACTACAGACCGAACTAATTTGCGCAGCCTCGATAAAAAGGGCGTGTGTGTTGAGCCTCAGAAAGAAGCATCCACGTTCCACAGAAAACGTTTCAGCTCCATATCTTGTCTTTATACTAGCTGTGGAAAAACCAAATTTTGTGGTACGAAACGAGATCCATGAAAGGACTTATAGTACACTGGAAAAATATACTTGGGAATGAATACGTGAAATTACTGATGAGGGACCATCTAAAAAAGGACCGAAGAATGCAACAGAAATTGGTCAAAAATAATTACGAGGTAACCTGTTGGATATTACCTATTTAGAGGACAGTTGAATGAAATAGAGTTGTATGTAGAGAAAAGTTTATTACCGTTATGTGGTCCAGTTGGAATGACTAGCTCTTGAATCGCGAAGGCAAGGGCGAAGTTCGGTTTTTGATTTTGTAATAGAAAAGGGTCATCAAATTAAAAACTCTCATTCGGGCGCTATCTACAGAAATTTCCAGAAATACCCTTTTCAACATTGGTCACTGTAGACCAACTGAGTTACTCCGGAATAGGAGACGCTTACTTCAGAGCTTTGATAAAGTTTTGCATTCTCACCCTTGAAATGAAAAGGTAAAAAAAATAATAAATCAGTATTGAAAATAAATGGTCACTGTATAAAGAAATCAAAATAAATGATCACTGTATAAAGGAATCAAAGTGTCGATATTCTGAAATTTTCTACTCTTTCCAATGAGAGCCCCAAAAGGAATGACAACAAAAAACAGGGTCTTAGTCTTGGGTTAAATGCACTAAACCTTCAAAATTCTTATCGAAATCGTATCTCCAGAAAGCACCAAGGAAACTCAAAGCTGTTGTTTCCCACACCTTCAAATGAACTCCTCTGATTTTTGAGATCAGGGACTTCGGCAGTTTCTAGCACTAACCACCTCAGACCTACCATTTCACAGTACAGCTAGACACGTCCAAGATTATCTCCCCCTTGTGTCCAATTGATTCCTGTGTTCATGCCATCAGTGGTTCTTATGCATTTTATCATTTTGTGATTTTACGATTCTACTATTTTTTATGATCCTATAATCTTGTGATTTTGCCGAGCAGAACTATAATATAAAAAAAACTGTTGCCGAAAAATCCTGATGACTATACAATTAGTTAAAAATTAACAATTCTAAATTGATATCTATAAATACCTGAAAACATGGATGGAATTCATTCATATAGCTGATCCTCAAAAATTTTACTTAAATCACCACTACGTGTTCTCTAGACGAAGCCAGACACAGAAAAAAACCTTTTAAAAATTCCATCATTCACACATAGAATCGGTCAAAGTTCAAGCAATTCTACTACCTGTTACATTATTCCCTACAGACATACACCCATAACCCACTGATTCTGAGTATTTCTTTGAGAAAGACGTTGACTAGGCCATCACTGTCAACGAGGAGCACTATAGGTCGATGGATACCTACTTCTTTTTGCCTGATTTGGATGATGTGCACACCAACGACATGTTCCTTCAACAGGACGACGCTACTTGCTACACAGCTCATGCCACCTTGGATATTCTGCACGTGTAATTTGAGAGCATGCTTATCTCACGTGGCGGTAATGTGAACTGGCCACCGAGATCGCGCGATTTAACCCCGTTATACTTTTTCTTGTGAGTATTTTTTGAGTCGCAGGTATATGCGAATAAGCCACAGACCTCAGCAGTACTCAAAGCCAACATACTCTCTCTCTCTCTCTCTCTCTCTCTCTCACACACACACACACACACAGTACACAGTTACAGTACACTATGAAAATGACTGATCCAAGGAATAGTACCAGTTGACGTCTATTTGTACAGCTAACATGGATAAAAATAATCAAAATAAACAATACGGACTTTGAATAGGAGTCAGCTCTGGAGTTCTGCTGCAGACTCCTCAAAAAAATTCGAGATCTGTTGAAAAAAAAATTTGAATAATTTGTATGCTACAATCTACTATTCAAAATTGGCAAAAATGGTTTCTTTGTATTCATATTGTCTCGCAAATGGCATGAAATAAAAAGTGGAAAAATGAAATGTTACAGTGAAACAAACTTTCCGAAACGTTTGCATAAAATCCCAATTTGAATACACACAGTGCTAATTCGTGTATTCTTTCAACCGTGTTAGGAATCACATGTTAAAAGGTAAGACCTCGTTAGTTCTTAGCTCGCACAAGTTTCTCAACTTCTGAGAGTTGTCGTTCGTATGGGGGCGGCAGCTCATTAACGGAAAAACAGATTTTTTTTAAACTGAAAAATTTTCAGTATATTTGGTGCACCAAGATAAATGTATCTCAGTTCCATACCACCAATACACGAAGAACTTTGGGAAATTTTTCAAGGAACTAGGTATGAACGTGGTTTTTAAAACAAGTCATACACTACAGCGCCTTTTAGGGGATCCAAAGGACAAAGTCGAGAATTCGGAAGAGTCTGGAATTTACGAAATTAAATGTAAAGACTGCACGAAGAACTTTGGGAAATTTTTCAAGGAACTAGGTATGAACGTGGTTTTTAAAACAAGTCATACACTACAGAGCCTTTTAGGGGATCCAAAGGACAAAGTCGAGAATTCGGAAGAGTCTGGAATTTACGAAATTAAATGTAAAGACTGCAATGTCAAATATTGTGAACAGACAAAAGGATCTATTGAAATAGATATAAGGAATACTTTTGCACTTTTGCAACAAAACCATTCCACAGACTTTAGTTCAATAAGATTGGTTGGAAAAGTCAACAACGACAGGCATCTAGATGCCTACAAGAGTGTAGAAATGAGTAAACATAATAATGCATTTCATCAGTTCGGACTTCGATTGTCTAATATGATATAAATTGATTTAAAATTCCTGAAAGAATCTGTGAGAAATAAAAAGGTTAGCTGAGAAATAACAATTTGATTAAGCAAAAAACTGAAATTAAAATGAAATAACATGCAAGCAACCACCAAAAAAATTTGAGCTATTAACACAAGATGGAAAATTAAAAAATTATTAATAAGAAACGAAAACTAAAAAATATAAAATTGAAAGATTCTAAGCCAAGTTACTTCACGACGGTTCGATTATTAGTATTCACAATCGTCTTCGGGTTATTGTGGATACTAACAATCGAAACGTCGTGAAGTAACTTGGTTTAAAATCTTTAAATTTTGTATTTTTTAATTTTCGTTTCTTGTTAATATTTTTTTAATCTTTCAGCTCGTGTTAATAGTTTAATTTTTTTAAATTTTTCTGGTTGTTGCTTGTATGTTACTTTATTATAATTTCAGTTTTTTAGCTTAGTAAAACTGATATTTTCCAGCAATTTTTTTTATTTTTTTACAGATTCTTTCAGGAATTTCAAATCAATTTGTATCATATTAGGCAATAGAAGTCCCAAATGATGAGATGCACCACGAAACATTGTTACCCACCTTCAAACAAACATAATAATATTATGTATAACGATGGTGGACCAATACCTAATAGTACCTCGTTGAAATAATACTTTATCAGATTCACCTGACTATTACTTGAGGATACATTGTAAAGAAATTTAAGACTAGTAGATAAGGCAATATTGTGAAATTAAGTTGACTAGTTTAGTAATCCAACAATTCTTCTGAAAAAGGGGTTGGTTGGGTGGCAGGATCAATTTTTTCCTGAAAAAACAATTGTATACTTGCCCACGTTTCGAGGTTAATTGAATTCTTCTTCAAGGCTCTGAAATTTTTTTTATTAAATTCGAAATGTCGGCAAAAAATCTTTGTTTTTTAAGAAAAAATTGATCCTGCTACCCAACCAACCCCTTTTTCAGTGGGAAATTAATTTAAGACACTCAAGACGAATGTATCTAGGTGTCTATAGTATAAATAAGGATAACATTGTACGTATATTTAGATTAATCTTTCTCTTAAAGATCATTACTTGGTAATCGAAACACGTGTCGAGGTGTTAAAATAGCGGTTTGGTGTTGGGATAAAACTTCAGTAATATTCATTACTACACCAAAGGTTGCAAACAAGTATGAATATATGAATATATGCATAAAATTCTCATATGAACAAATAAATAGTCGATTTGAGCTCTCTTTACGAATCCAACTGAGTGTAGTATACTTTTTGAACAAACCTGTGGTTGGCATTCAGCAGGAATGAATGTTCAGACATCGGACACTCTTAAGTGTGGTTCAACGAAATGGAACAACGTGCGTCCAAAGATCCTGTAAATTAATCGATCCTTCTTCATTATCATCTTCAGCTCAAACTTGATATGGAAATAAAGGATTTCTTGACAATGCTTGCATAAAATTCCAATTCAAACGATCACAATGCTGATTCGAGCTCTCTTTGTTTGCGTTGCAATTGTACGGGCATCTCTTTCAGACAGACGCCTCCACGTTCCACAGAGGACGTTTCCATCGCGACGCTGGCTCCGACGTCGTTCTCCGGCTCTCAGTACGGCGGAATCTGTTCGTCAGACACGTCGCTTCCTCATCGTCGAAGCTGTGGCAGCGATTTCTCCATGCCATTAAACATTTCGATCACAGTCTGATTGATTTTCAATTACTTCCTTCTCTGATGTTCTGGCGTCGAGCAGCACTGCCACAATGGTCGCTTTCATCGAAGTTTTTCGGTTCGAACACGTGTTGCATGACACATTTCACTTAGAGGTTACTGGCCACTGACCAATCAGGTAAAGCTGAATGTTGTGAATATTTGTTGATGTTTACCTAATTCATCTCATGAAGACATCGTCGAATTTCAACCGTTCAGTTCCTCTGATTAGTACAAAATGTGTTTTGAAGTAGAAAATTCGATCGTAGAATAGTATTTCTTAACTTCATGCAGAACGAAATGAATATTTTAGAATAATAGACGGTTTCTATCAGTGTAATGTCCATTTTTTGTAATGTACCAAATCCACCTGTTTGCAGGATTGTTCTCTGCTGTAGAATCAGGAAATAACGTTCATGTACGTATCATGGATTTTTCAATTGTGATTGATTGAAGTTTTTATAGTTTTTAGTTATTATATATCATTCTCTAAATCTTTCATATTCGACAAATAATGACGTGAAATAGATTACCCGATATGAATACGTATATATAATGATTGTTATGTGCAAGTGAAATATATAAACGAATCATTTTTCTTATCTCCCACTATTGTTAGTTTGCCTAATTGGGGCGACAGTAAAATTCATTCTCACATCACGATTGTCATGACCGTATTAGAGATATTCGCAAAAAAACAAAATATTACAGATTCCGACAGATCGCCTCTATTTCAAAAGATATGAAGATAAGGTAAAGCGACTTTTCGTGCTGTTTCATTTTTGTTATGATCCGACGTGTCGTTCATTGAAATGTATGTAATTCGTTTCATTACGAACGTCTAGTTTTTCCATCAATTTAAGTTGCCATCAGTATCATATCAAATTGAGCCATGATTATACAATTTTTTGTCAGATATATCTCAATAAACCAGAGAATAATATCTATTGTATCTAATATTCGAACATGTACATTAACTTCAAACATCTCAGAAAATTTTGCAAATAGATATGAGTGCCCTCGCATTTTCTAGCCTTTACATTACATTACATACAGGTAAATATTGAACCAAAGTAATTGTTTGTTGAGAAAATACGAATTTTCGATTGTTTTCAGCTTCTGCAATCTAGAAAAATACAAACATTGCAATGGAAGTTTAGAAATGGTAAACTTCCTAGTTCACCCAGATGGGTTACTGTGTAAATTCAAAGTATTTTTCTTAAAAAAATGTTCTATTTATTGTCTTATCTAATAATTTCTCTTAACTAAAATTATACAGATACTTATCTTTACGTTTTGATGGCAAAAATCTGCCTCAGTTTTCAGAATTGAAAAAATGTAAGGCTATTCGCAGTTTTTTTTCTTCGCTGATTCTCTTCAATTCAGAACTTCCCCGGAAGATGTGGAAGAAGTTTCAACATGTGAAATATGTCGATGATGTTGACTTCTGAAACTTCACAAACTATACCGGGAACGATTCGATTTTCACAAACTTCATTTTCAAAAATAAGATACTGAATATTAACTCTTCTCTCTAACTTTTATATACCCCACGTAATCACTAGTACTCAGATACATATTCAATCATAATTATCTAGAGCATATATTATTTCTACATCTACTCAATTTTAATATACCTCAGGTATATTGAATGCAGGTTCATGGAAAATAAAATTGATTTTGAAAAAAATATACTACGCCGCTCATGCCATAAAAAGAAACTGCCGACGTTCGGTAACCATTTAGTTTTTATGCCATTAGAATTGACTTCGTATATACTATAGAAACACAATTAACATGTCTACAAAAACAAGGATAACATAGGTTTCTAAGAAAAAAAGTTCAGTAATGTTGATCTATTTAAATCCGGTTGGTTATTAATTTAAATGTATGAATTTCTAAGTTTATTAATTTCCAATGTTTCAGCGTTAAACCTTCATTTTTTATATGCAAAATTTTGAAATCTTCGAAGGAGAATATATTCTGAAAGATGATTTGAAAATGCTGAGCTTGTTTTCCTATTAACATAACTCATATGATGATCATGAATTCTGGAATATTCGATGTAATTTCGTCACTATCCATATTTGTAATAAAGACACGTATAAGAATATTTGCTGATTCTTTGACTGGGATTTATTGGCAACTACGCTCGTCTTGTTTCATTCGAAGTCACCGAATGTTTATTTGCGTAGTTATTAGAACATTAGACATTTATATTTCTCCAATTTTCGAATAACTTACTATGCATTTGAAATCAGATTCCATCGAATTCAATGGAATGAGACGAGAATGATTGCCAATGCATCCCTAAGATGCATAAACTTGAAGGATCAGCGAATATCATCATATCTGGGGAGAAAAGTAATTCGAATATATCCTTAGAAATCGAATTCGAATATATCCTATCCAATACTTGGTATTGAAAAAAAAACTGTGAATAGTGGCGAAACTGCAACTGACTATATCAACAACATTGACATATTTTACATTTCAAAACTCATTTGACATCTGTTGAGGACGTTTTGTAATGAGGCAAATCAACGGAGAAAAAAACTTCGAATATTCTAGATTTTTTAATTCTGAAGACGTAGGCAAATTTTAGCTTTCGAAACGTGAAGATGAGTATCTGTATAATTCCTTTTTGATTTGCAAAATCATAACATACGACAAATCACTGATGAATAGGACTTTTTTTTAATTTACGCAGTTTTGTTTGTTTGAAGGTGGTTGACAATGTTTCATGGTGCATTTCATTAATTCGGACTTCCATAGTCTAATATGATATAAATTGATTTGAGATCCCTGAAAGAATCTGTAAAAAATTGAAAAGGTTAGCTGAAAAAATAACAATTATATTAAGTAAAAAAATCTGAAATTACAATGAAATAAAATACAAGCAACTACTAAAAACATAAAAAAAATTGAACAACACTAGATGAGAATTATGAAATTATTAAATTATAATTTTATGAATTATGAAATTATAATTTTCATCTCGTGTTAATAGTTCAATTTTTTTGATTTTTTATTTGTTGCTTGTATTTTATTCTATTTTAATTTCAGTTTTTTCTTGCTTAATATACTTGTAATTTTTTCAGCTGATCTTGTCAATTTTTCAGAGACTTATTCGGGGATTTCAAATCAATTTATATCATATTAGATAAAGGAAGTCCGACCTAATGAAATGACGTGGTTTTGTTCTACTGATGACCTATTTATTTTGTAGAAATTCATATTGAATAGAGGACAAAGAAAATAATTTTGTCTATTTTCTCAAGTAACTTACCTATCATTCTCAGTAGTAGTACTCAAGTACTACTATTGAGAATGGTCCAACAAATCAAAATCGGTCGTAATAAATGATACCTAAACTTAGACAAAAGTATTTTCTTTATCGTATATCGAATTTACGCAGTCACTTATCGAGGTGAATTGAATAGTTTGCAATGAATTGATTGATGTAGCCGTTACTACGTAGTAGAAAATCGTCATGGGAAAATGAAACTTTTTATGTCTAACACAATATTAGTTTGAAACTGTCCATATAGAACAAAACTGCAGTAACGATAGTTACGAATAAAAGTGGTAGAAAACATAGAAAAGTTTCGTTTCTCATTTTTCATGTAATTTCATATAATCATTTTAGTCACTGAGTTCTGATGACGTTTTCAGGAGTAATTAGGAGTGAAAATAAATGTGCTTGGTGCAAGTTAGAAGTTATTCATTCAACAACACTTTACAAAAATTAAATTTCATGAATATTCGGTCACTGAAATTATTTTGTCAATTGAGTTTCTATTATTATCAAAGGATTATTTGACGTTTACATTCCTTATTGTGAGGCTTACCATAAAAACTTTCTGTCAATATTTTCATTTCATTCATGAACGAAACGTCGCATGATGCCTTAGTTTTGTATTATATGAAATGGAGGTGATATGACCCACAAATAAATTTTGAAAAAAATATTCATTGTTTCCCAAATTGAAAAATTATGACTAATTCAAGCAACCTCGTAATTATTACCATTATCGAGATAGCAAAAACTACAAAACAGGTAAAAAAAAGGTCTGTAGGTATTTCGAAAAAAATGCTTTAATGAAATAAGTGAAATTGTCAACTTCTTATTCTATTTAATATAAGACTTGCACTGCATATAAATAGGGTAGGTTATGACCATACAGCATGATCGTATACAAACTGGTCCATCAAGTGAGTAACGATTGAGATATTTTTTATTTTTCGGCAAATTATATTAAAAATTCTATTTCAAGTTCTGTTGCTCCAGTTCTGTTGCTACAGATCTATGTAAAACATAATGTGGATTACCACCAGATGGTATTCAGGCAAATTAAAATCTAAATCAAAAATGCTGATGAAAAATTAACGATGCATCTGATTTGTTTCTGCTGCTGAATAGTTTTTCGGAAATTTCAAGAAATCTTTACCTATTAGCTTTCAATTTATTATTCAATATATCACACCAAACGCCTCATTTTTGTTATCGAATACAAAATTGAAATTTTCATACGACCAAAAAATACAATTTTGAAAGAGTAGATCTTGTGAAAGTCTTTCTGGTTTTCTATTTTTCCTTCAATATGAAGACTGAACAGGAATTTTTCAAGAAAGCAACATAAAAATTGGAAAATAACAATAATAAGAACGCCCTACAAAGATGTATAGCTCATAAACAGTAATTTATTCCAGATACAAACCCGTGCAAAAATCCCACCCGAAACGACTGCATTCTATAAATATTGAACAGAAATCATTGTTTTCACAACCTCTTCTGGACATTTTCACCTTCCATAATTTGAAAAAAATAATAAAAATTTTATTGATTATTTATCGATAAAATCTGTTTTAAAGAAACATTTATCCACGACTATTAAATAATGTATCCATTATACGTCTGTTTGCTGGAACATTAATCACGGCAGTGATTAATGAGTCAATAATCACTGCTGTCAGATGCTTCCTTGATTTAGCTATAATATTATTTTGTTTTGTACATATAATTCAAATGTTTCGACAAGTCACCTATGATTAACTTGACCAATTGATAAAATATTAGAATTATAGATAACTATAAATAAGTATCTGGTAATATGAATATCATCTTGCGAGATTAGA